TGTGTGGCCACGTCCAAAGTGCTTGGACGTTTTTTTGCCAACCACTTGATCAACTCGATTCTACCGGAAGCGACGGCTTCATGGGCAACACCGGTACCACGTACCGTCCTTGCGTAAAGAGAGCCACCGTGTTGAGCAAGTATCTTCAAAGTCTCCAATTGACCTTTGGCTGCTGCGCAAAGTGCTGGTCTAAAATATTTTCACTCAATTTAGATTTCGTATTCTATGCATATATTTGTGAAAATGGAAATTTTGCATGGAATTTTTACGTGTATATGATTATTGAAATTTCTTACAGATCAGGAAGAATATTTAAGAAATATTAAAAATATTAGATATAAGTAACATAAAAAAATGAATGGAATTATATATATATGGCATGAATTACAAGTTGCCAATTTATAATTTACCTCAAGTTTTTTTATATATGTATATTCATAATATTATTTTAATATGAATATTTTATTTTCAGTTGTTCTTAAAAAATTAAGTTAAGTTAGGCTGTTAATTTAAAAATTATGTTAGAATTTATTTTAACATTTGAAGTATTTGTACCATTGTTCTTCAACTTTGCCTATGAATAGGCAACATCTACATTGTATCAGAAATGTACATTATTATTGATAATGATAGTCTGTCTATAGTATCTACATGAAATATCTAATATCATATAGCTATATATGGACACTATATATATATGGGAGTCAGTAATAGTGTCAATGTACGTCTTGACCTATGGATTCCAAATTCTATTATCGACATGGTAAAATCAATGTTAGACATAAGATATATTGTATAATATTATCGAAGATGCTTTAGATATAAAAATATTTATATCACTATTTTTATCACATAACATAAAGATAAATAAAGAATAAATCATCTCTAAGAATCATATCGAACAGAATATATTAATAATTCTGTTAATTTTTTTCAGTTTGAGTTAATATTCTAAATCATTTTGGGTTTATACGAATATCAAAAAAAAAAACGATTCCTCAAAATAAACAGATTTATAAATTCGAAGAATTATAATCGACACATGTACAAAATTTAATATTAGAGGAAAAGCAATAAAGGGATTTAAAAAATAAAAAAATTTCATAATATGCATCAGAGAACTATTTAATCGAACCCTTTTTTAAAAAGCGGACGAAATTAAGGTAGTAATAAATATTAAATAAATAGATTTATTATTGTAATCATTTTTTATTTATACTCTAATACTTTTTAATTAATTACTAATTTTTAACTAATTACAGCTATGAATAATCAATATATCTAAGAAGAAGTTTGAATGACATAAAATCGAATCTGCTTTCACAAAGAACAGAAAAAAAATATTCCTATCAAATAATTTTAATGTTATTATTCGATAGAGTTCAACTTTTTATATTACTTACGTTCTACCCTTTCGATCTTGACGATTTGGATCGGCTCCTAGCTTTAAAATTAAAGCTGTAGCATCAGCGTGGCCAAGAGTGGCAGCATAATGTAGAGCTGAACATCCATTATCGTCTACATGATCAGGATGAGCACCACAGAGATTAACCAACGCCTCGACACATCTGGCATGACCTCTTGAAGCAGCGCAATGAAGAGCTGTCAGGCCATCTTTATCTGCAGCTCCTGCGGCAGCTGAACCACCGGCTCTGTATTTTAATTATTGCTTTTAGAATCATTCATTTTTCTTTTAGAAATCTTTCTGTTTCAGAAAAATAAATCTTGAATGTAAAAATTAAGAATTAACTTCTAAATATATCTATAATATGCAATATCTATAAATAATGAAAAGAAAATATTAAAACTTTTCTCAAGTTCACTATACTATTCCATTTTAAAAGAAAATTCCTCTATCTTTTGATTGTTTTAAATATCTTTTACTTCTAAAGTACTTATTGATACTTACATTACAAAAGTTATCTCGAACAAGATTACTTTTCCGTATTAATAGTCAAGAACATGTATTCGAACGAAAATCAAAGTTTACCTAGCTAATGCCAACACAGCTTCCACACTTCCAGCACTTGCTGCCCATAGAATTGGCTGCCTTCCATCCTCGTCTTTCGCGTTTACATCGGCACCGAATTCCAGAAGAGTCTGAAGAACTTTTAAACCAACTTTCTTAGGTACAGCAAGCTCAGCAGTTGCAGCTGCACCGCAACATTGAGCGGCATAATGAAGAGGAGATCCTCCGCGTAAATCGGGTGTCGATGGATGAGCACCCGCTGCTAATACCAGACGAACACATTCCGCTTCCCCACACACTAAATGTAAATTACAAATTATTGTTCTTATATCTACATATTTATAATTAATAATAATTATAAATAATAATTATAAATATGTAAATTAGAATTTTTAAATTATTATTTACATATATTTAATATTCATGTACAGATACTATTTTTAAGTTACGATTAATTAACAATATGTTGATAGGAAAAAATAATAATTCAGATACTATTAATATTTCATAATGTCATATAATTGGAAAGTTATACATATTCATATATTTATATTTAAATTTATTACACACTTGAGTTTATGCTGTCTATGATTAATTTCAAGAGAAGCAGAAATTTAGCTATTAATATTCATAAAGAACGCTATTTAAAATTTGTAAATAAATTAGTAATAAAAAACACAAGTTCTATTACTAAAAATAAATTAATATTAAAATCTCTAACAATAATAATTAAAAGAAAAATCCAAATATAAAAATTCTCTTTTTTATTTTTCATGTCATCACGTAAATCCATATTTAATAAAGATATCTCACAAAAGAAGTTTCGAATGTCTCGAATAATTGACAGATATCATCGTGATTCGTATTCGGTACACAACATCGAACAAGTAAGTCGAAATATTATTTGATGACAAGTAATCTTCATCGAATCTTTTCTCATCTTTTCTCCTTTGCTTTAAATATGATTCGTCGATAAGAAACTTTCTTTTTCATACCATAAATCCGACTTACGAATGTAAGAACCGGGCAATTGCGAGTGCACGGCAATAAATCGACGGTCATTTGAATATACCAAGGACGACTATGGTCAATCTTGTGGATTATCTCGGTATGAGTCTCGCGTGTTCCTTGACGAACCGGAATGACGTCATCAGAACTGACCCACTAACCTTACCTGACCAATATACCTTTATTTTATCGGAGATCGGTAGAAAAGATATGGTCATTAATTCACAGTTTCCGCAGCTT